AACAATTATTATACATCATTTTAAAGAGAAAGCTTTGAGCTTTAATTTAAAATAAGTTTCATTCCTTAATTTCAATAAATACGGCTTACAGGAATTTTTAAATTAGCATCTTTTTTGACACTTTTAGGTTATTCGAAAATGTAAGTTTTGTATCAAAATTTTTTTCTCTATATTTTTCCAATCCAACCCAACAATTATTATACATCATTTTAAAGAGAAAGCTTTGAGCTTTAATATAGAATAAATCTCATTCGATAATTTCAATAAATACGGCTTCCAGGAATTTTTAAATTAGCATCTTTTTTGACACTTTTAGGTTATTTGAAAATGTAAGTTTTGTTTCAACATTTTTTTTCTCTATATTTTTCCAATCCAACCCAACAATTATTATACATCATTTTAAAGAGAAAGCTTTGAGCTTTAATTTAAAATAAGTTTCATTCCTAAATTTCAATAAATACGGCTTCTAGGAATTTTTAAATTAGCATCTTTTTTGGCACTCTTAGGATCTATATAATCAAACTAATCAATTTCTTCTCGATCATAACCTATTTTAAAGTACTTACTTCGAATAAATTAAATAAAATTTTCATTTTCTCGTTAAAATAAAATTTTTACCTCTTTGCAAAACCATCCTTAACTTTCATAATCCGTTAATCCGGATAGTGGTAAACAAAAAACAGCAAACAGACTTTTAAAAGTCACTGGATCATCGGCCCTTTTTAAAGCGAAAGAAGAAGAGATTTGCAAGAGGCTTAAAATTGACTCGGACGTTTTTGTAATTAAAACGTCAAATCTTTCGGATTATCTCCGCTTGTGTAAAGAAACGAGAAGGCTTTTTGGATGATGAGGTGGTGTTTGACGGAAATAAGATAATGGGTATTGTGAAAACAATCTTATTTTTGTTGCAAATGGTGTGTGAAAAACGCGTCTTCTTTCAAATTTAAGAGAAGAAAAGAAAACGAAAGGATTAAAGATTAAGTCTGTTTACTGAGAAGTTAAGATGGGTTTTAAGAAAGGATTTAAGAAGGATGTGTCAATATTTTTGTTATTTATTAAAATTATGAATAATTAAAAAAAATAATTTATATTATATTTAAGTAGTGACATCTATTATATATTTAATGAATTATTTTTTTAAAACAGAACTCTTCCACAACGAACCGTTAGGTTAGATTTAAATTTCACTAGATGGCGCTACATCGCTAAGTAATTGATTCGCGCTAATTAAGTTTATTTTTTTAAAGAATTAGACTTCATTTACATTAATTGAATGATTAATTAAATTTTAATTAATTTAATTATTTTTTTACGGAATTTCGTTTTTCTTGTACATTGACCTCGAACTTGGAGTAGTTTTTTTGGGTACCCACACTTTCATCTTTATTGAAATTGTCACGAGATTCACCTTCCACATTAACCTTCAACCGTTTTGATTGCTTAAACATCTATTTTATTTAGCATCATGTTTCCCAGAATCGTTTATCTCTATTTGTTTGTAATTTTCTATTTAACGATCGCTTATCCTGCCACAAAAGGTGAGTTTTATTTTACTTGGTTTGTTGTGAAAAAAATGTTTTGTCGTTTTAGAAATCTGCAGCCCGGGCGATAATAAAGAAATTGATTGCAATAATTGTTATTGTGCCGATGGGGATAGTTGGATTTGTACTTTATTGCCTTGTTATGAAGAACAAGGTAAGTTTAACCCTTTGTGTCCCAAGAAGTCACACATTTTAAGACTTTGTGACAGAATCAGACAGGTAAATGTCAAAAAAGATGCTAATTCAAAAATTCCTGGAAACCGTGTTTATTGAAATTAAGAAATAAAACTTATTTTAAATTGAAGCTTGAAGCTTTCTGTTTAAATCGATGTATAACAATCGATGGGTTGAATTAAAAAAATATTGAGAAAAAGAGTATTGAGTTAAAACTAACATTTTCGTATAACCTAAAAGTGTCAAAAAAGATGCTAATTTAAAAATTCCTGGAAGCCGTATTTATTGAAATTAAGGAATGAAACTTATTTTAAATTAAAGCTCAAAGCTTTCTCTTTAAAATGATGTATA